AGAGTTGAAATAATAATATTAGGTTTGTTGCTAATAATAGTTCTGGTTACTATTTGACTACTATTATTATGATATCTTTTGTGTTATATCATTAGGAAGGAAGAGAATCAGTTGGAAGGGAAAATTATTGTTCAACAAAAGGAGAAGAAAAAAATTGTCTCCAGCTGATGATGTCGAGATGATGAGTATGTAAGTTATGGTTTCAAATGATAAACTTGATGACTGGGAAAATGCTTAAAAATTGGCATAAAACGCGTGCCGACAACAATTGATGAGATAATTTAAATTGAGACTTTTCTAGTAATTATTTCGCTCGATAAGACGAACATGAAATTGGGAAGAAAAGGGAAAGTAAATGAACTTTAAGTTGACATGAAAATACATTTTCATTTTTAAGATTGAAAAATTTTCCAAATTCTGCTTTCGCTGAAATTCATTCTAAAACAGTTTATTTGTTTGATAAATGCTTTCAACTCTTAATAAGTTTCGTTCCATTGATCACCATTTTTGGTGAATCAGAATCACTTTCATAACTAATAATGAAGGATTCATTTTTAACCTTTTCAATGGAATGTTTGAAAGTCTTTCAAGAAAGAACTGAATTTCATTATTTCAATGATCCATGAGTTGATGATGATGCAGATGATGTTCCTGAACCTGATGATCCTGATCCTTGTCCAAATGTTGATCTTGATCCTAGTCAATCTAAAGCTTCTGTTGATCCTTATACCGATGATTTTGAGATATTTTACTTTCATTTACTTAAAGATACAGATTTAATCATCAATCGGTATACGATGTTGAATAAATATTAACTTGACAAACATTGACGATTCAAAACGCTTTTATGATAAATTTGTGAGAATTATTGATCGAAAATATGGAAAAGTCGACTTCGATTTTTTGGTTTTTAGTCCAAACATTGAATTATTGATGGAATCATAAACCATTTTTATTAATTTTCTCAAATTAAAAGCGATTTTTTCGACTTGATTTGTGACAAAATCAATATTTTCCTTTCAATTGATTACCATTTATATCGATTGGAACTGATTTAATCCTTTATTTTGATGCAATTATTAATACATGATTTGCTTTGAAAAGTTTACAGAAGAAAAAATAAGACGATTGTTTGGATATCATTTGATATCATTTGTAATATTTTGATATAAATAAGATATTTTTTTATTCCTTTGTTGTTCAACTGAACAAGGGAAAATAATATTATTACTCAGTTTTATTTGTTGACTTGAGCTTTGACAGGTTGATGTTGAAAAGTTGTTATATTACAAAGAATGAGATGAACAAGAGAAAAGGATGAAAATAATGAAACTGATCCTTCTGTGTTTAACCTCTCATATAACCAGCGGTTTCAACTAATACTTACCAATCAACAATCATCATGTCAACATCCTATAACCAGTTTCTTATAGGTTATCATTTCAACATTTTATTATCGGTAAACATATTGAACAATTATGATTTAGCCATCATTCCAGGTTTAACTTTTATTCAGAAAACAAAGAAACTAGAAAAAGGTAAAAACCTATTTTTTGTTTTATGTTCATTGAGTAAACATTGGATTTACATTGATGGTCATTGATGGCCATTGATGGCCAATGGTGAGGTGATGATCTTATCTCATGTGCTAAATAGGTTGTTATGTTGCGCTTGTTCAAGGTTGTTCACTGATTACTGGCCTGAGATGATAATCAAAATTAGGAATGAAAAGAATCGTAAAATGTAAGGTAATCAGTGTGATGAAGAAGCGAAAGAAGACAAAATTAATTCAAGATTACCATTGAAATTGTGTTATTGCTATTGTTATCCGTATCAACATTCATTGTTAACCAGTTGTAAAAATTATGCTCGAGTAAAAGTTAGTTAGCAGTTAAACTTGTTAAGTAATATAAACGTTTCCAATAATAATAATGATATATTATTTTCTGGGAGTTTTTTTGTTATCGCTTTTGGTAGCAACAAAAGTGGATAACCATTTGTTGTTGTTTAATCAAATGTTGCCTTTTTACTGCTTTCAAATGCTTTTCACGGCTTTTGCCTTTTTTTGAAAAAAACATTTTCGACTTTTGGCCTTTTACTTCGCTACAAAAACTTTGGTTGAAACACATCGAAATAGTTTTTGATGATTGGAATATTTTTCAAATTTCAATTTTTCCAATTTTGTCTGTTTTCTAAACAGTTTTTCATTTATGATTGACTGATTGGTTGGTTTTGTTTTTGGTCAGTTATGGACGCTTCTTTGAAAGAGCTTCGTAACCTTTCATTCTTGGGAAAAGAACTAAATGCAACCGAAAACCATGAAAACTCAAAAAAGAAAGAAATTCAGAAAAAACTGAGATTCGCTGAATACAAAACCAATTAGTCAAATCATCAAAAACTTGTTCGAAAACAGTCAATTTGGAAACATTTCGATGTTGATCAAAAAGGTCTGAAGTGGAAAAATTCCAAGTCTTGAAAAGATGCTTGTCAAGTAATACAATAGTATTTCAGCGAAGCAAAAAATTTTCGATTCTTTGGTTTCTTTTTTGGGTTCTTCATGGTTTTCGGTGGTTTTTGGTTGCTTTTGGTTCTTTTCACACAAATGAAGAACAGTTTGGTTAATGTTGTCTGAATGGAACAAGTTTGCAAATTATTGTTTGAATAAAGAGGTAAAATTTGTGCCATGAAATGAGATTGCAAATTAAATGATAATTTTAAATGATGAGATTGTTAATGAAATGCATTTTTGTGTTCATTTGCTTTTCAAGAGAAGAAGAAAAAACACAAAAATTCGATACTAACACCTTATCATTCTTTCCTCCTCCCATTTTTTGGCCTCTTTTTGTGTAATACCTTTAATACCTCCTACTTGTTTCTCCGCCTCTATATTTGCCTCTCATCATCATCATCATCTCACTCTGAATTTTCCCTGTACTTTATCTTCTTCTTCTTTCCTTTTACTCTTTGGTTTGTCTTTTTGGTTTTCATTTTGGTCTTTTGCGCCTGTATTTTACTTGCCTGGTTCCTTCCTTCGGTTGGCCAAGGAAATCGATAAAATCGGTTTCATTAGGTTCAACAGTCACATCACCAACAAACCTTTACCCGAAACCTTACCACTCCATCAATCTCATCCTCCTACTTACCCAGATCAAGAATCAAGATGAACATTCAAGATTCAAGACTCACTACTCAAGTCTCAAGATGGGGAAAAACAAGAGAAGAGAAAAAAAATGTTATTCTTTTTTTTCGGTGATCCATTGCTTTTCAATTTATAATAAGATGCTGGTGATGATGTTGACTTTAAGGTATCGTCATGATGATCAATATTTTGCTTGGAGGAAGAAAATGCAAGATGGAAACAGTTGAGAGACTAAAGAAGATATTTCTTGTTCTTCTCTTCAAGATATCAGTTAATGGAGAAGAAAGTGTTTCCCATTTAGCTTTCAAGGAGTATCGATCTCACAGTTGAGAGGAAGATGATGATGATCAGGGAAAAGGAAGATCTATAATTGAAGAAGAAACTGATTAGGGATTGGTTGAATCAGCGGCTTCTCGATCCATATACCAATGGTTAGGAATCAACATCCATGAAGTTTAATACTGATTCCTTTCATCTTCATCTTTCCATTCTCTGCCTTTCTCATTGCAATTTCAACCATTCTTACCACTTAAGCTTCTTCATCATCTTCATCATCTTTATCATTTCTCTGTCTTTTCCTTTCTTTTATCAACTAATTCTTCATTTTAATTCTCAGTCTTTCCATGTTTTGTTTAGCAAGGCAACATTTACTAGATTAAAACTAAACACTCTTTAATGCATCTTCAATCCTCCTTTAATTTACAAACTGCTAACTTGCTCTGTCTTATTTTACTGTTTTGTCAGCCAAAAAGACATTATTATGTTGCCATTTAGGTTTGCTTTTGTTTTTATTTTTCACACGGCAAGTTGACTTCATTTACTTGTACAATTAGATTCCAGGATGACTTAACTGTTTTTAATTTAACTTAATCACCTCTTTTAATATGTGATTAGTTAAATTTGCTACGCACTTTAAAGGAAAACAAAAGTTAAGCAAAACTGTCTGTTGGTTTTGTTTTACCAGAAAGACTGGCTTTAGTAGAGCCTTTGATCACATTTTATAAAACAAATCTAGTCTTTAAACAATTAAATTTACAGTTGACAGATTAAGTAAATTAGCAGTCTTTAATTAATGTGCTTAAGTAAAACGGTTAAAATGGCTTAATCGATGAGATTTAATGTTTAATCTTGCATATTTACAGCAATTTTACACAAAATTTTGTCACTAATATTCAATCCATTGGTTTTCAATTTTCAAAGCAAAACAATTATCCATTCAAATTTTATATACCATTGGAGAAGTCAAATTGATGATTGTGGATCAGTTAATCAGCATTTAGAAGAGCCAATCAATTTGTATTAATAACTAATAAAATATTAAATATTATAAAAAACTTAATGATCAATCAAATCATTTATTTGGTTTTCAAATCAAACTTACAAGCAACCTCAAGCTTTGCATATTGAGCTGCCATCTTGAGGTTGCTAAAGAAACTTGCTTTAATTTATTCAAAATTTTGGTTTTTTTTTCTTTTAACAAATTCATTTTTTGTAAATAATTTTCAATTTCAAAACCTATCAAGATCAGAAAAGTCTGATTCCGAAGCTGAATCAGATCATTTTGTAACATCGAAGACAATGAAATAATCTTGAAAACCAGGAAATAGTTGCATGAAATGAACCTTCCAATGAAGAGCATTGCTTTAAGCGATCGGAATTTTGTTTAAAATTTTTGTATATTACTTTATCTTCTCTAATCAACCGTTTTTAAATAGGAATTTAATTTTAATTTTGTTTTCATATTTAATTTGAAATTGACAAAAGTTGATCACTTTTTCAGTGCTCAGATGGCGCTAGTAACCATGAAATCTGTCTCAGTCTCTGACAGTCTCAGATTGCATTGGTTAAAATGTAAACAAATGTTTCTTTATACAATAATTGTGAATCAGTACATTTCTGTTATTTTTTAATCTTCCTCTTCTCAGAATTAAATTTTGATTGTTTTATTTTACGCATCATGTTAATCTTATTTTGCTCATCTATTATCACACTTTGGTCCTGTTGAGCTTCAACATTTACATGGTAGTTTCACTTCACTCCTGTCTGTTTGTGTGAAGTGCACCAACTGTTATTGTAAATACATAATGCGAAGAGTAAAGTGAAAAATTCGTGACTTGCTGTTCATATCAATGTTTATTTACTTGCGAATTGTTCTAAATATAACTTCGCAATTTTGTGCAACAAGACACAACAATCTTCAAACTTGCAAAATCTAAATTTCAGCTAAATCGGATTAATAGTTTTTCAATATTACTCAATTGTACTCAATTGTTTTCAATATTTAAAGGGAAAATTATATGGTGGCGACTCTCTCGGTTCTCTCATTGAACTAACCGGTTTACAGTTTTTTGCGAAACTCTTCTTTACTCTTTGACATAATGCCTCTTGGATTATCAAGTCAATTGATTATCCCCATTACATTATGGGGAAATCGAGCACCAACCCATTGTATTTCATGTGTCTACTTAAGCCGTGATCTGAAAATATTGGTTACTGGTTGTAACGATGGTCAACTATTGGTATGGGATGCACTCAATGGTAATCTTAAAAATATACAACCTCGATCTATGCTTTTTGGCCATTCATCTGGAATTATGTGTATTTCTGGAGGAAGTGTTAATCCAGAGGATAATCTCATCGTTAGCTCCTCTGAAGATGGGTAAGAATTTTCATCAATTTGTATCTTTTACCAACTTAATAATTGTTTTTAAAATTTCTTTGGTTTTACAGTGAAATGTGTTTATGGGACCTAAATGATGGACAATGTCTTGAGAGTTCCAGACTCCAATATGTCCATACAAATATTCAGGTTAGTTTTTTGACGTGTTTTTATGCCATTAAGTCTAACTTTTAATTTGCGATCATTTATAGATTCATCTTATGCAAGGAAACGGAGAAACAAGGTTGTTTTGTAACGGTTATTATGCTGAAATTTTAATCATCAATCCTATTACACTGCAAATCATGTTTACTTTATCGTCTCGGGTCAATCCAGATTGGATTTCAGCCATAGATATTGTTTACCCCGGTAAACCTCAAGGTGAATAATTTTTAATTTATTTATTTTATTAGAAAATCTCAAATTTCAATATCAACTTGTATTTTTAATGCTATTTTTTCCAATTTTTTTCAACAGACAATGTCATTGGTCTTACGGTTTCTGGTTTTGTTAAAGTTTGGATTTTAACTGGTAATGAGTCTCGAAGCTCAGAGCCGATTTATGAACAAGAGTTCAAACAGATAAAGCCTTTGAATGCACTCAAATTAACTTGCAACATTTACAATCAATCAACTGTTCTTGTAGTCTGTGCAAAATATTGGCAGGTTTGTATTTTTTGCTCTAAATGTATACTCCTTAACAATATTTCTTCTAATCGATTGAATATGTTTTCATTTTATCAGGTATTATACATTTCCATTTCAATCTTATCATCTATTTGTCATCATAAATCTTATCTATCTCTAAAGTCATGTTCTGATCTAGACGAGTTTGAGTAGATGTTACAAATATTAAACTTAGTGTAATAATACCGAGAATCTTTGCATATCAGTTGTTTATAATCGCTATGAAATAACCCAATAATAGTATCATCAATAATCAAAGATATGCTTGAAAAATCATTGAGCTTTGAGTGATTAAACAGCAAAGTTAAATAGAATCTTTCTGCCTAGTTAATTCGTTTTACTCCTGCCAACTCATGATAAATCCATTGTATACTTTGATGTATTGATTGTTTACTTATTTCTCCCTTTTTTTGTTTTGCCTTCATGTAACAAAATGAAAACAGATTTACGATGCACATGATTTTTCATTATTATTTTCCGTGGACAACAAACGGAACGAACGCTGGGCTGGAGGAGAATTTCTTTCAGCTGAAAAAGTCTTAGCTTGGAGTGATGCTGGTAAAGGCTATATTTACCAGTTGCCCAAAAAGTAAGTCCCACCAATGTTCTGGATCCATATTTATTAAACAGTTGCCCAGCTTCTATAAACCTTACAAATATCATTGGTAACCTGGATTGTATTACACTAGAGTAGACCCAAAGAAAGATTGAAAACCTCATCTTGATCTTAACCATTGAACTCAAGGAACTCAAGTGTCAAGGATTATTAGCATGTTTCATCATTAACCTTACATTTTTCTAACCTATTCTCTCTCTCTTCCATCCATATTTTTTCTCTCACCCAACAACTTTCTCTCTCTCTCTCTCTCTTTTCTCTCTGTATCATCATCTTCATTTTCATCATCATCCTTTCTGATTCTATCATAATATAATGAAAGTACCTCACTTAGCACACCAAAGGGAAAAGCTCATAGGTAAATTGAAGTCTGCTTGTGTTAACTAAATTCAATATTAACCATATCATTATTGCAACTAACCATTAACTAACAAACTAACATACTAATCAGTGCATATATCACCACTATTGAATTTATTTTATTCACTAACAAAAACAAAATTCCCTCATAATTCCTAATTAATGAATGCTGCATGTTTATCCCCTAACATTGCTTTTTGTTTCACTTTAATCATCTTCATTGAAAATTTTTTTGCTTTAATTTTTTGCTTTTTTTTGTACAACGAAGGAAAATCATCTCCTGATTTTTGAATTGTTTGTTTATTTCAACAGCATTTACAAAATCATTATATGATCTAATTTTTTTAATTTTATTCAACTTTAACTTACTAATGCTTTTTCTCTCCCTTTGCATTTACAGCTGTATTCCTGATCGTAAAGAATTTCATGAACAATCAAAGAAAAACCACGTCATTGAACCATATTGTATTTTAACCATAAAGAATGACGAAGTATGAACAATTTTTAATCAAACTTATTCATTGAATTGTAAATTTACTGCTACTTTCAGCTCTAATTTTTTGCTCTTTTTTTTATACTCACCCAATTCAGAGACTTCTTTGTCCTCCAGTTACACAATATCATCTTATTCCTAAATCTCAGAATTCTCAAAATTCTCAATCTACTAGAGTTTTTATTCGCGGCGATTCACTTGGTCGTATTGCCACTTGGTTTGTCACTGATGAAATGATTGATGGAGTAACCCTCGAAGATGGTGTAGCTCAGGGTGAAGCTGCATCCCATGAACCTGACAATATATACTCTTTAGCGGATGCATGGAAATCAATGAAACCTCGTCCATTAGGGATTATGGATCAACTGGTAATTTTAAGGAAATGATTTTTGTTACATTTAAAATTGATTCATTTTCCATATTTAGAGCTCTGGTGATCATCCGGATGTTAAAATAACGGCAAGCGTTTTTCTTCCAATGCAAGGAACTCTGGTTGTCGGTAGAGAAGATGGATCTATTATTATTGTTCCCGCAACTCAAACTCTTAAATTGCAACTTCTCCATTCCAAAGTTCAATCTTCTAATGATAATTGGCCACAATATCAAATTTTATGTGGACATGCCGGAAAAGTTACATGTCTTCTTTACCCACACCATGTTGACTCTCGGTATCAAATTCAACATCTAGTCTCTGGTGGAGTTGATTTCTCAGTTTGTTTGTGGGACCTTTATGCTGGAACGCTTTTGTATCGATTCTCAGTTCATGCTGGGGAAATAACTCAACTGCTCGTCCCTCCTAAAGATTGTAGTGTAAGTATTGAATTTATGCTCAAAGGAAAAGTGATTGTTTCTCATCAAAACATTACAATCTTGACATCTATGAATAACCCACCCTTTTTTGTTCCCACAGAGTCGAATTCTAAGTTGCATTTGTTCTGTTGCCAGTGATCATTCAGTGGCATTGTTAAGTCTTAAAGAAAACAAATGTATTATGTTAGCAAGTCGTCATATGTTTCCTGTTTCTATTATCAAATGGCGTCCTCTTGATGATTATATGGTTGTTGGCTGTGTCGATGGATCTGTTTATGTTTGGCAAATTGAAACTGGCCTTTTAGATAGAGTTGTTCAAGGAATGCTGGCTGATGATATTTTAAGTGCCTGTGATGATCACCAGGCTGCTTCCAATGAAGATCGCCTCACTAACCCAGCTATACACCTTTTCCGTGGCTTGAAAAGTCGAAATTTAGAAGCCATTAAGCATGCTACGGCTAGAGGAATCAGGCACATTGCAGGTCCTCTTGTAAGTTGATTCAAGCATCTTATTGAGAATAAGAAATAACTGTTTTTATTTTTTCTTTCTCTTATCAAGCATCAACAAAAACAAGATGTAATTGACCCTGCTATTCAGAATCGTTCTCATCCGTTGATGATTCAAAGTCTAAAAACAAATCCAAAAGATCAAGATAGTCATGTATTGGCTTTCGATGTGGAATCTCTTATTGTTAACCTTCTTGCTGATGCTTATACTCAATTTGATCCTGAAACATTTGAAGCTAGAGGATTGACTAACAACAAAGCTTATCAAAGATATCTTCAACTAGTTGAATCACCTGAATCTACACACAAATTTTGGTCTAAAGTTAAGGATTCAGCCGAGTCTGCTGCTCAAAAGATTCAAGCAAAGGCAGAAAGTGTGGGTTTCAAACCAGATGTAAATGTAGCTACTGTTTTATTCACTCGGCGTTCATCAAACGACGCTGAAAATATGAAAAATGGAGCTGATAAAAATACTGAAAAACGAGCAAATAAGCTAATCTCTTCAGAAACTGACCTTAATATTGAAATATCGCAAATACTTTTGTCTTTACTTCATGGTTGGGGCTTGGATCTTGTTATGGATGAAGTCTGTGAAAGTAAATTAGGCTTGTTGCGTCCAATTAGACCAATTTGCTTCGGCGTTCTCTCAAAAGGAGGTCATATGTCTCTCTATCTTCCTACGTTTTTAACTAAACATGATGCCAAATCTGAAGTTTCTAGTCCATTAGTCAACAACGAACTCAATCATGACCCATCACCTATCTCTTCTAAAAGAGTTCGAGTGAAAGAGTCTGGTCCAGCACAGAATGCTTTTGAAGAAGATCGAGGTCGAAAGTTTTATGCTCGTTACCATTGGGAACTTTCTACGGCTTTAACGACTACTCATCTTTTAACTATATTATCTTTGGCAAGAACTTTAATGTGCTTGAATAATTCCTCCTTTTTCACGGATTCTGAAAGAAAACGTAAAGTCTTATCTCGTTTATCTCGCTCCGAATCACGAAGTTCAGATTCACAAGCTGATTCTGATATGAAAGCTTTAGAAGCTGAAGTAATGGCCAATGTTCAAGAACGAGCTAGACAAGGCTGGAAATCACTAGCTGATTTGCATTGTATTTTTCTGCCCAAACAATCAGGAAATGTTAAAAAACCTCTCCTTGACATTTTAGCTAAAAGATGGCAAGATAGGTGCTTAAAAGTTCGTGAAGCAGCTCAAACTTTGCTTTTAGCGGAACTCCATCGTATTGGTCCTCGCGGTCGTAAACAACTTGTTGATGATTGGGCTTCATATTTGTGCCAAATTGATGAGCAAAACGGTGCTGCAATGAATAAACATCTAAATGTTCCAAGCTCTGATAGAACAGCAAATCATTCATCATCTTCGCCAGCAAACATGACTCCTGACAATGGTGAACCTGATGAATATAATTCGTCAGATGACGAAACAGATGATGTTGGTGATCATGCGAGTACTGGTAGAGGTGATAGGAATGAGAATGGTTCTAGTCCAATTCAAAGAAGATCATCGAGTGGTTCAGAGATTCGTCGTAAGCAATCAACAGCAATCATTCTTTTAGGAGTAATTGGCTCTGAATATGGAGAAGGAGTTGAACCAACCAAAGGACAAAAGATAGTTATCGATGAAGATACAAGTCACAAGAAGCCGATAATTGAAGGTTTCGGTGCTGGAAATTATAATCTCGCTCGTCATACTTCACGAGCTTTAGCTTATTTAGTAGAGGCTCCACCTTCAACTGGATTACCAGCACATTCACCACTTCGAAGAGCTGCCATTGATTTACTGGGTAGAGGTTTCATTGTTTGGGAACCTTATCTTGATGTCACAAAGGTGCTTTATGCGTTGCTAGAGTTATGTTGTGATGCCGATAATCTTATACCAACATTATCCTTTGGTTTACCTTTGACTCCGGCTGCTGATTCTTGCCGCACTGCTCGTCAAGCTCTTGGTTTAATTGCAACTTCTCGTCCGGGTTCATTTATTACTACTTTGGCTCGTGAAGTGGCTAGATATAATAATCTTCAACAAAACGCTCAGTCAATGAATGTTCCAGTCTCTGGATCTCCTCTTAACCGAGCTAAACCTGAAATACTTCGTAATATTGAACTTTTAATTGAAAAAAGTCAAAACCAAGTTTCTGATCTCATTATCGAAACAGTGGACATTATCCTTCACTGCTTGGATCCAAATCATCTGAAAAGTAAAGAATTGGGTAAAGTTTTTCCTCCGATAACTAAATTTCCCAATGTTACCTGTTGCACGGCAACCCGTCGAATAGCTGCTGGCGCAAAAAATGGTAACTTAGCAATATATGAACTTAGAGCTCCTAAACCACAATTAATTAATGCTCATTCGTCATCAATAACCTGTTGTTCGTTTTCGCATGACGGTAAACACCTTGTTTCTTATTCAATGAATGAGTGTAAATTGGCATTTTGGTCAACAGCTACAAGTCTTTTTGGTCTGGGTAATTCTCAAACTAAATGCGTGAAAACCTTCAATACTCCACCAAATGTACCTGATAATGTTTCCAAATTACCGAGACTCTTATGGGTTAGCAGTAAAACAATTTTACTCGTTTTTCCTGATGGCAGAGAAACCAAGTATACTATTTAAGAATGAAGTTAATTCGACATTAAAAGCTCCTTTAGGTCGAATTAAGCCAATCACATCTTATTATACATTTACGTATAATAGTGATTAATTAACTAGAATTATTATAGAAGTCAAATAAGAAAAATCAATCAATTGTCAAGTTTCAATTTTATGGAACCAATTCATCTATGACTTAATTCAATGCATCTAAAAGATGTTCACCTTGGCGGATTGAGTCGCTAAATCACTTGGATCAAAACCAGAGAAGGGATAATTTTCCATTGATGAGTTCATTTTGATGTTCAACTGTTGCCGAATTTATCGATGACTTGACTGTTCATTTGTTCAACAGATTATCAAGAGCAATTATTTACAAAAAACTACGAGAATCTACCGGAAAAGCTGTTTTTGGTATACATGAATGATAACAATTTTTTTTATTAATTTAAGTTATAAAATTATTTTCCTCTTCATCATTGTCATCCTTTTCCTATTGTTATTTCACACTCTCTTTTTTTTCATATATTTTGTTTTGTTATGAATTACACTTTTCTTTCAAATATTATTTCTTATTTTCTGATTATCTTGTTAATATTAAGTCGATTTATACATAATTCATTTACATCAACTAATGCACACTCATCCAGATGAAGAGCAAAACATACGGAAAACTATACACGAAGTTATATTGGCTGTTCACTTTTGAATTTAAATTGTTTGCTGTTCATCATTTAATATATTTATTAATTTGTGATTGAGTAAATCAAGACTGATTGTTAAGTTTCCATCGATCATCATAATTAACATTTCATTTAATATCTTTAGATCAATTTGAATTCTGGGTTCAATTATGATAAAGTTACAATTTTATCAAATTTTCTTCATCTAAACAAACTAAGTTTTTTTCAAATGACAAAATTAAGTGAAAAAATCAGATATAAATAAATCATTATTACTGATATAAAAGTCCATAATTACCATGTTTTCATTAAATCCCCATTCAAAATAGCTTCAAACAAACTCTTATGACTATTATGATTACCATTAGATAATAATCAAATGGGTTTGTGAAACGGCGAAATACATTTTTGCATCGTATTAGACTCTCTGGTTACCAAAACAAAACAGTTAAGGATATCATAGCAACACGACTTTACATCGATAATAATCAGACCCATAAATAAAGGTTGGAATATATAATTGAAAATATAAGAGTTGTTCAAGAATAAGGCAGTTAATTCAGATTATTCTGAGAAAAAGTGAAAAGAATATTTTCAAAAATATTTTGTTTACAATTTCAAATAAAATGCCACTAAGGATTTTGTAAAAAAGCGCGGTATTTTTGCAGCTCATGTGACTCACTTTGTTCAATCAGAAAAGGCGAATCTTCTTGGTCAATCTTTACTTGTTTTTGTTCACTGTAATCAGCTTTATTATTATAATTATTAGGTAAGTAATTACATTTTTTCAATATTTGATGTGTTAATTAGTGCGAATTGTTCGAGGAATCAAGTAAAACCAAAAATGTTAGTACAGTGTTTTCTTAACTCCATTTTCCCCTGTCTTCTTTCCTTTACTTCAAAACTAACAAGCGAGGGAAAATGAAATTTTTGCTCATTTTTTTCTTTTGTCATTTTCTTTACTGTCAATAGTTTTTTATTTGAAAGAACAGATTATAATGGACAGAGTTAATTATCGAAGACTTCACGATGAATTGGTTGGTGTTCAATCAGATGCATTCAAACATTACTTTGAGCAAACTTCAAAAATTGGATGTAATCTATACCGGTGCTCAATGTCTATTTGTTATGGTGACCAAACTTTTGAAGCAGTTGGATTTGGAACCGTTTTTATCATTGCAATGGAAGAAGCTTCTTCGTCGTTAATTGATAAATTACAAGCTCAAAACTTGCTGGGGAGAAATTTAGTCAATCATCATCAACAACAACTTGAGGAAGAAAAGAAGAAAAATTATGAGTTGAATGGGCAGTTGATGGAAGCCCGAGAAAGGATCGAGACTCTAGAGCAAAAAGTGACAGAGCTTGAAAAATGTGAAAAAGCTATACTAGATGATGTATTGACAGCCATGTCAGGAAGTAATCCCTTGTTGGTCAATGGTTTGCTGATCCAGGAAAATGGACAATCTAGACGAGAAAAGATCATTAAAGAGCTGAAAAGATTCTCTAAAAGTTCCCAAGAAGAGAAGTTGCTTCTTCAACAGGTATACAGTGAAAAAGAAAAGTTGATCAATACTAAAGAGAATGAGATAAAACTTCTAAAAGCTGATTTAGCCAAAGGTAATGAAATCATCAAAAAGCTCCACGAACAACTGAAGAGTGCCAGTTATAAAGTGAGCATCCTTGGTGAAGTAGCTACTAAACAGGATGAAGTTGTTGAGTCGAAAGATGCGAAAATAAAAAAAATGGAGAGTGATTTGAAGATTTGTATTGAGAAATTGAGGAAGAGAGAAAGCGAGATTGATAGTTTGAAAGATGAAGTGAAGGTTCTACGTTCCCGATATGAATCGAGCAAAGAGCAAATAAAAACAAATGAAAATGTGATTACCTGGTTGAATAAACAGTTAGCTGATTTGCGGGTAGAAGACGGTAAAGCAAAAGCAGACGAAAATGGTACTCGGCGCCGTACATTTGGTACAGTAAATCCAGTTAAAGAATCAACAACTACCAAAGGCAAAGTGATTATCCCAGAGCTGCCCAGAATCAACTTGGTGAGTCAAATTGAATCGGAAAATTTAAATACTCACAAACCGAGTACCTCAAGATACAAGCCAATCTAACAGTTTCTTCAGCAAACTAAATTGTGCTAACCTAAGTCAATACATAATGCAGCACTGGGCTGCGCGCTGTGGTTCTCCCCAGTAATCAATTATCAAACTGGTTACTCCGATTCTCTGGAACACGAATTATCCAGGAAAAATATTGATCAAATCTCTGGAATTCGCTCCGTGATGCTGTTACCAAAAGTTGTGTTGTCTTTTATTACAGTCGACATCCAGCAAAAAAGCATTTACGGATATACATTAATTCATGTCAATTAATCAATATACATTACTACGAAATAAAGGAAATAAAGTATTTGGAATGAACGTTCATTGATACAAGCTTGCAACTTATGTACGTAGCTGGTGACATCATTTTTCGATTGTTTAATTGATTCAAAAATGTATTACATCAAAAACACATAAATACAGATATGTAAATATTAGATAAGATTAATTAGGAAGATGGAGCTAGCTGTAAGAAACAAGATTCTCCTTCGGTTTCCATGTTTTGAATAACTAGCGTTTTAGATGTTTCACCGTCTGGTTGATATTCATAAATGAGATTTGCTGTAGCCACTTCTTGTTCTGAAGCAGCAATTTCAACTTCCCCTGGTGTTGTAGCAATTATCTGACTATCAGATAATTCAGGAACTGAGTTTTCCTCAAGAACCGTAACTTGACTTTGCCTTCGAGTTTTTCTAGGTTTATAAGGAGCGGGAGTTTTTGCGTCACCCGAATGATGTTTTATAACATGCTCTTTCAGTTTATCTCGTCGGGTACTTTCATAATTACAAACATCACATTTGAATGGTTTGTCTTCAAGATGTATTCTTTCATGGCGAATGAGATGACTCTTTTCGATGAAACCGCGTCCACACGTTACGCAAATATGTGATCGGATTGAAGAGTGACTTCTCTCATGAGCTGCAAGTTGTGATCGTCGCGGGGAGAAATATTCGCATCCTTCATGGGTACAATGGAAAACATTTCCTGTGTGGATTCTTTTATGCGAAAGCAAATGTGATTGATATTTCGTTGTAAAACCACAGGTATCACAGAGGAAAGGACGGTCGTCCCGATGAGTAGCTAAATGTTGGTCTAAAGTGTTTTTCATAGCAAAACCACGATCGCAGAATTGACATCTGTAAGGTTTTTCTCCAGTGTGAATCCTCATGTGTACATTCAAGTTTCCTTTGGTCCGTGATTTGAAGGGACACATTTTACAATGGAAAGGCCTTTCATTTGTGTGTCTCATAAGATGAGATAAGATAAATTGGATGCGATCGCATGTGTAATCACAATCCTCACACTTGTATGGAGGTCCTTCAAAATGACACTTCATATGTAAATAGTATTCTCGATTCCAATTGCAACTAAAATCACAAAAGCGACATTTATAAGTTGTATCTTCGTCGTGAACTCTGGACAAGTGTTGTTCTAATCTGGTCACAGTGTTACCAACATAAATACAGTGTGGACATTTGATACCTCCTTTCCACTTTTTTGGCTCTTGGCTTGAGTCATCGAGAGCAAGTGATTCATCCCCTGATTGAATTGATGCTACTGCTCTTCGAGCTTCACCTGTTTGCTCCGGGGAACGACGCTTAGAAACGGGTATTTCATCGGTGATCCATTCTTCGGACGCATATTTGCTTTTAACTTTCCTCCTTTTGCTTTTATTTGCTGAATGTCCCCCATCATCTTCTTCATCATTTTCTTCATCTGTTGTTGATTTTTTCACTTTATTCTCTGTAGTATCATCCATATTGCTATCATCTCCATTATCAATACCATTGTCATTATTCAAGTTAAATTCAGTTTGTTCTAAATACTGTTCACAGAATCCTTGTAATTTGGATATAAGAAAATGAGTAGATAATCGGAGTAAACCATTGACATTATTTTCATCGATGGTCACATTACCAGAGTACATATAATCGAGAAGAAGTTTGAAACTTTCAACATCTTCCCATCCAATTGTAATTTCTTCTTTAGCTATTTTATCATGTCTTAATATAGACTCAAAATAAGGACTGGAAGCAGCCAAAACAGACCGATGTGCTGGAAATCTTTTTCCTCCAACATGTAGAACAATATCACAAAATTTTCCGGCCTCGCGCTGGGCGCGAAGGTTACCTACCATAGTTTCAACTTCACCTGAAGAAGTTTAAAAATAAAAACACAAAAGACAGAATTTATTAATCAGGGAAATTGCCCAAATTTAGGAAACAAATGCAATTAAGATACGATGTCCTGGTCCAAAATGGCGAATGCCTGCCATCTCGTGGGTGTTAAGTTTGTTTCTAGCTACTGCCATCTGTTGATGAGAAGTTATCTTTATTGAAATGAGTTAGTCAATGATAGGGCCGATGATGATTCATCTTCAGTCCTGTAATCATCAACACTACATCTAATTTTTACATTTTTTCATCTTAATCATATTATATTAATAATAAATGAATATATTTTTCTGTTCTAGTTTGTTTGGACTTTTTGTTTAACATTGTTTGTCTTCTTTTGGCTTCTTTTTGTGTTTTTAAAGTTAATCAAAATTGTTTGTTTGTTTCTTCTTAATCACGGTGGAACTTTCAAAGGTAACAGAAGCCACTTAGTAAAGAAATGGCTTCTTTCTTGGATAGGATTGGTAAAATATTTAAAGGTAGCAGTGTTAATGAGGTGAAAAGGAAAAAGATATGCCATAATATAAGATTTAATGAAAATCCTGAGGATTTTTGGACTCTAGTCGGAGAACTTGGTGATGGTGCTTTCGGTAAAGTTCATAAGGTTAGTAAATATTCTGTCAATGAAGAGGATGAAAGAGACAGGAGAGAAAACAACTTCTCTGTCAATTGTCTGTTTTTCCTCCCTTTCTTTACTTATCTTTCTCTCTCTCTTTCTCTTTCCTGTTACCTTTCTTTTACTTTTTTATTCCTCTTTTACCTCTCATTACCATTTTAAAGGTTAAATTTGTTTTAACATCAATGCTTATTGTTTTATTTTGTTCTCATTATTCAATTATCAAAATGATGTTTAGGCACAACACAAACAAACGGGACGTTTTGCGGCAGCCAAGATATGTGAACTTAAAGGAGAGGATGAATTGGAAGACTTTACGGTGGAAATTGATATTCTCAGTGAATGTTGCCATGAAAATATTGTTCAACTATATGAAGCTTTTTTCTTTGACGATAAACTTTGGATTCTTATTGAATTCTGTGAGGGTGGAGCTATTGACACTATTATGCTTGATCTGGATAAACCGTTGACAGAGCCACAGATTCGTTACGTGTGCCATGAAATTTGCAAAGGCCTCTCTTTTCTTCATAAAAAAAAGATAATTCATCGTGACCTTAAGGCTGGAAATGTTTTGTTGACTCTGGATGGAGGTGTTAAATTAGCCGATTTCGGTGTATCAGCAAAAAATACCCATACCTTACAAAAACGTGATTCGTTCATAGGTACACCTTATTGGATGGCACCCGAAGTTGTTAAATGTGAAGCATTTCGTGATAACCCTTATGATTATAAAGCTGATATTTGGAGTTTAGGTGCAACATTAATCGAGTTTGCCGAAATGAACCCTCCTAACCATGAGATGGCTCCTATGAGAGTTTTACTCAAAATACAAAAATCCGATCCACCAAAATTATACAGACCACAACGTTGGTCTAAAGAGTTTAATAATTTTCTAGAACGATGCCTTACTAAAGACCCATCTTTACGTCCAAGTGCTGATGAATTATTAAAACATCCTTTTATTGCACAAGCAACTGATTCTAAGCCTATTCGAGATTTAATTAGTGAATACAAAGCTGAAATAGTTGAAGAAGTTCTTACCACGGATAACGAAGAAGAATCTTCTGAGATTTCATCGACCAATCCGTTAGAGAGTGATTTACAAACTAAAAAGGATGAATCACGAGTTGCTGCTAACAAAAAGCGAATAGATTATAAGGAAGCTGCGACATCAGAATCAGGAAATGAAATGTCAAACCCACCAAATAATGTGAAAAATAAACCTAAAGCTCCACAACCTCCACCGCCCCCTCCTCTTCCGCCACCGACTGTACCTTCAACATCGTTGTCATCATCATCAACATTAGCATCATCAACAACGACACCATCACCCTCATCTCTTTCATCATCAACTACACCTTCACAAACACAACCAAAGTCACGTGATGTGCTTGATAGAACTAAAATAATTCAAAGTGAGCAAAATGAATGCAACAAAGTGCCTTCAAATAGTGAAAGTGTTTCAAAAGAAATTAAAGAATCTACAATCTGCAATAATAACTCTAATAACAAGAGGCCTGCACCAAAACCGCCTTGTACCAATAGTAATCTAGATAACCTGGCCAAGGATAAAAAGGAAGATGCACCTTATTTGCCTTATAAAGATAATATCAAAAATGTTGAAAAACCTGAAAAGGATCGAGTTTCAGGTACTAAAGAAAAGTTAGTCACCATTCGTCCAAAAGAGAATGAGCTTGATCACGATCTTCATTCACTCAATAAAAATTTTGAAAACGAAAGTAAATTAGCCTCTAGTGATGATCAAGGAGTAACTCGATTCGAGTTGGATGGACCGAGAAGCGACGATAAATCACCGTTAGCCAATTGTGATGTAAATACGGCTATTGGTGAAGTGACCGTCTCATCGGATCACAGTACCATCATAGATAACGTCCACAGTGATCAAAATATTACAGATAGTAGCCATGTGTCAATTGTATCCATTGACTATGGTAAAGATTTAGCGGCTCGATCAGATCGTGATAAATTGGAAGATCTGGTGGATTTAATGAACTCAGCCAATGAAACAAATGTTAATGGTTCTTCGTCAGTTATTTCATCGCCTAAAAGGTATACCCCAGACTTGGTTAGGGACGAGAAAACTCCAGAGAATGATGTGATAATTATTTCAAATGATTACGATAATTTAACTGACCAATTCAGTGGTATTTCTAATCAAGATCGCTTACATGATCTTCCAACGACAACTTCTGTTGTAACCGCATTTACAACAAATCATCATCAACGTCGTGATACAACAATGGATAATGAAGTCGATGATCATGTTTCTGTTAAAACAATTTCATCAGACAGTTCCAATAGTGGTAAACGAATAAAAGTTAACCTTAATTTGGTTTCTGATAGAGATGAAACTGAAGCCGGAGCTGAAAGCTCAGAATCTGAGAATAATAGGAATTCATATGTTTCTCCAAGATCTTCCATAAGTCGTCAAAGTGTTAACTCAAGTTCAACTACATCAAACATACGAAACAGTCTTCACGAAAATGTTCCTACATCATCTTCATCGTCATCATCAGCAACAGCAACAATAACCACCAATGATCCTAAACCCTCCTCCATAACTGATTCACCTTCAAGGTTAAATATCCATTCTCGCATGTTAAAACGGGAATCATCGAATACCGGAAGCTGTACAAGTTTTGCAAGTCTAAATAGTGATAAAGAAAGTCGCAATGGAACAGATGATGATCAAAATTGTAAAAGAAGATCTGAAAAGGTAATGATGAAAAATTCAAGTCTCATCATAAAACTATTTCCATTTTTATTTCATATCTCAGCATATTTTCCCAAAAAAAACTTCACATTTTTTTGTAAAAATTTCTTTCATTTTCTATCGATCTCACACTGCTTTGATCTGCGACTGTTCTTGAACTAAGTTTCAACTAACCTTCCATCAAGCTTTGCACCATACCTTTCTTCCTTCCTCTCCATCCTCATCTCTCCTAACCTCATCTTTTCATTTAAATCATCCTTCCCTATTTTTTAGTCAATTCAAGATTGACATTGCATATTTTTTCCGTTATTTAATTAGCTTCTTCAATCTTAAACTGAACATTATCATAAATTATTATTCAATTCATCTTTTTCATGCTCAATTTTTAATTGTACCCATAAAAAATTGAACAACACTTATACACAATTTTACTAAATATTTCATGATGGTTATGTTCTTACAGGAAAACAATAACACCAATATGAAAAATCATCTCAAGAAATCCAATTTCAATGCTGCCCAAAAGAAGACTTTAACCAGAGTAAGAAAGTTTGTCATCGATGGTGAAACTTATACAACAACAACAAGTAAAGTAATTTATGGAGATGAAGATAAGCCCAGGGATGACCATGTTTTGAGGTATTACATCTCTTTCTCATTCGCATTTCATATTCAATTTTCATTTCAATTCCTTTCCTATCTTTATGCCATTTTATCTTCTCTCGATAACTTTTAAGGAAATTGAATATTATGTATTACTTTTTATTTGATCTTGAATGTTCATGTATTATTCATTATTTTGACTGTTACCTGTGCCATTTGCATCGTTAATTTTTTTTCTCCTCTTTCTATACTTCTGCTGCTTTATACATTATTTTTTCGTTGAGTTATTATAGCTCAGCATTATTCAATGGAAACACAACTGTTTGACGTTCATTTCAAATTGAATTCAGCTTATTCTCTCCTCTGATTGATTTCTAGTTATTCAATATCCAATTGTCTATTCTTACTATTTTTACATTCTTTCTCCCCTTCTGTGTTTATGTGTCATTTTCATCATTCTAATTGATTTTCATGTTTCCAATCCTAATCTTGATTCAGTAAGAGATTCTGATGAATCCAACTTATTTGGCAAAAATTATTTCTTTGGTTATTAAGGATAAACCAATACTTTGTAATTCTTTTAACCAGAAAAAAAGATGAAAGTCAATTATTTTAAGCTAAAAATTAATTGATATTCCAGTCACTCTCAACACCTTTCAAGTGTTGAATATTTACTATCACTTTAAAGCTTTCCAAGAATTTTATGACAAAAGTTAACAACTTATTTAATGGTCTTTAATACATCTGATAATGGTATTAAAATGGTAGAAGCCGCAAATTGGTAATCACTGATTCTACCTGGATTCACATCTTGACTTTATTGCTACAATGATTTTCAGTCTATATTTTACCAAATTTTGTCTTAATAGTTTATAAAACTGTTTATTACTCGAACCATATTTTGTCAACATCAGCCCTAGGGGATTATCAGTAAAAAAAATTAGCGAAAACTTAATCCGGTTATTTTCGAACTTCGGAGGAAATGTTAATCCTTTTGATTGCTGAGGAGGAGCTTCAAACTAGAAACCAATCAGGGTCAATCAATTTACTTAATTAACGTCTTAATCTCGTTCCTGTTCTACTATTAGCTAAGTAAAACCTTATGGTAGTCGCCCTCTCGAAATATTTACTTGTCCGGTTTTGCCAACAGCTTCACTTTAATTGTTCGTGTTACTCGAATAACTTCTCCGTGAAAATTGATTGTCTTTGTTTGTGCATTTTACATTTCAACTTGTTTGTTCAATTGTTAATTCATTAGTAGAAACAAGTCTTCATCATTTACAGATGTTCATCAACTGTCTGTAGGATTTAGTTGGTCAAGTTTGTTGAATTCACCAGTCGACTTCTTTCTTTCAATTGTGCATTTCAGTTATTTTGAAATTTTCACATTCACTATTTGTGTTTCAACTATCAGTCTTGATTGACCAAGTGCTTTTACGTCTAGAAGAAAATTTTAACTTTTGTTTTTCTCAACAACCAATTTTCCATCATGATTATTTTTCTGCTTGATGTTGATGTCAATCGATCTCTCGGAAGGTATGTTTAATGAAATTTTTTCTGTCTGGTTCTTAATTTTTTATTGTCTTGCAAAACTGAATTCATTTTCACCAATGAAAGGATACTTTTCTCAGGTTTTATCTTCTATTAGATGTGTAACTCTCCCATTTCTTTTTCTGTCATGCATCTCTGGAACTTTTTGATAAGCTTTTTTCTTGTATTTTCGCAATGTTTTTTTATTCTTGAAATTCTTTCACATAGATACTATTTTTGTTCATGACTAAGTTTTACCCTTCCGAACTAAAAAGAACCTTATTCTTCCAACACTTTTCCTAATCAAAAATTTTCCCTAAAAGATTGATTTCTTTAATCATTATGGTTGATTTAATTTTTCTATTTTCTTTCTTTTACACAGGAAACAAGAACTGCGAGAGTTGAAGATGTTACAGAAGCTGGAGCAAAAACAATTTCAAGATTTAGCTCTCAAAGCTCAACTGGAACGTGAACAAGCTGAGAAGAGTTTTGCTCAAGAAATGGCAACTTTGTTGCGAAGTTATGAAGCTGATCTGGAAGCTCTCAACCGAACACAGAAAAATTTAGTTGAAAAAGCTGAACAGCAGCAAGAATTGGATCTTAAATTTGCATCGAAAAAGATTCGGATGGATCAAGAACGAGAGATGAAAGCATTTAAAGAAGCCTTGAAACATGAAGTCAAATTATTGAAGGCTGAAATCGACCAACTTCCCAAAGAGAAAAGAAAAGATGTTTGGAGAGTGCGAAAAGAAGAGTTGGACTCTGATCAAAACGAAAGAGAACGACTTTTCATGGAGAAGCTCAATGAAACTCACGATATTGCAATGAGACGAATGAGTGAAAAGTTCCGTAAAACGATCGCTGATCTCGAAAAACATTTTCTCCAACAAAAACAAGTGTTACTCCGTCGAAGAGAAGCAGCGATTTGGGAACTTGAAGAACGTCAAATGTATGATAAACATCAACTTGCCAAGAGACAACTTGAAGACATTATAAAGCTCCAAAGAATCCAAATTTTCACTCGTCATGAAAAAGTAAGTACAAAAATCTATTAACATTCAGTTCTGAGAAATATTCTTTCATCAAAAATTTTTACTAATTAATTTTCTTTCTCTTTTTACAGGAATTGGAACAGCTAAAAAGAATGAGCCAAAGACAAGAAGATCAACTTTTAAAACGTCAAGCTGTTGAAAGAAGACAATTACCGAAGCACATTCGAGCTGAGATGAAAGCTCGTGAATTAATGTTCAGAGAAAGCTTAAGGTGCAGCAGTGCTAATTTGCACAACGTCGAAGACGAACGTGAAAGGATTCGAAAATGGCAAGAAAGCGAAAAATTGAGGTACAAAGCTCAGCAACAAGAGCAAGAAAATAAACACAGAAAACAATTAGAAGATTTAAGGGCAGCCTCTGAAGCCGCTATAAGAGAATTGGAACATTCACAAAATGAAAAGAGGAAATCGCTATTGAACTATGAAACTATTAAAGTGAAACAATTGAAAGAGGAGCACAACAATGAAATAAATAATTGGAATGCAAATCTAAAACCTCGTAAACAGGTAAGTTAATAGACAATCTAAATATCATGCCATTAATTAGTGTTTAATCTGAAACTAATCTTTATTTCTTTTTTTCCCTGCAGAAACTGGAGAATGAATTTGCCAGACAACGTGAAGAACAAGAGAGATTCTATGGCAACACAAACCTTTTAAATGACTTTGCCACGGCAATTGAGAAATGTAACCTTCATGGACATGGACATTCTCATCATACGAGTTCAAGCAATTCACCAGCCAGTACTCCCGGTGTCGATATGCCATCCAACAATTACGCTCTTTGATGATCAATTCAACACATTTCATACGAATAACAAAAACTCATATTATTGGCGTTTTTCGCTTCCATCATCCTTCGTTATCTCCTTTCATACTTTTCAGAAAGCCATCTGAGAGTCAAATTTTAATCTTCATACAAGTGGCATTGAATAATAAAAAAAGATAAATCAAAATACCAGTCATCCCTTTCTTAAGAAAACAAAAACTCAGCAAGATAGCGGAAAGTCTGCAGTCTTGATGGTATCCTGAATAATTTAATATCTTGGTGAAACACACATAATTATAAAGCCTAATTTAACAAATCAAGGAACAAACAGAATAAATATAAATAACTGAAAAATTGTATCAAATTACTACAAAATCCAGGTTAATCTTGAAATAAACATGGACTTTTCATCCCGGAGTTCGTCTACTTTCAAAACTTTGCTTACCTTTTCTAATCAATATTAATGTCAACGATAAAATTTAAAAAAGATCAAGGCCAAAAACAAAGATTGAACTATGTTAAAAGACTCTTCCTTCATCTTCCTTAATCATGTCTACCTGTTTTCAACTACTGACCAATCCTTTGCTTACAATCAACATTTGTACAGTAGACCCTCGATTTTTTTTCACCTGTTTAATTTACTGATTACGATGATCAATTTTGATTCATGCCTAATTCAATTCAATGTACAATTCATAATTAGTTTGGGAATTTCGTTTCGAAACAAATTAAATAAATTATTACTATTATTATTATCCAATCAATGTTTTTTCATTCATCTCGCGAGAATTTCTATTTACAGATTAACATTTCTTCGAATTTCGGATTATAAGATTTTGGCTTTTAAAAATTGCTTTCAATCAATTAAAAGATTAAATTATCGCAAGAATCTTTTTCGGGGCAAACAGATCATTTTATTTATCCGGCTTAATGCTAATTGCATAAACAATTCATGATAAGTTGATATTTTAAATTCACTATTCAAAAATCATATCAAATTAATACTATCCATATGGTTATGTTTATGTATAGATGGTATAGAAAATCACCAGGAAGTTCTTTTAACATTCAAAATTGGTTAGCATATAGTTTCAGCTATAATCGATTGAATATTACAAAAATTTAATTGAATCCAAGTTCAGTTATGAATCATAATTTATGATTAGAGAAAAATCAGAATAGCGTTTATGTTTCCCAAGTTAGGCAGATAAAATTGCACTGCCATCTATGAAAATAGTTAAATGTATAGAACAACTTCAAAAAATATGCAATCACATGTTTTTGTTTAGATTTGTTTATTAATTTTATCGGTGTTTTTCTCAAATCACGTCATGTTGAGACAATTTGGTCATCCTGGAGGCCGAATATGCAGTGTGTTTTCTCCTCAAGTGACCAGTGTTCGTGAAAGGAATAAATATCAGGGTAAAAAGGATAAAAATTTCGATACAGTTAAATGGGAACATCAAAATGTACCTTTACAACCCCATGAAGATTTTGAACCTGATGAATGGTCACCCAGACGATTAACTTATTATCCAGAAGGGCTATGGTCATCACTTGTTCCTCGACCAAAGCCGGCTTGGTACGTTGATAGGAGGAAACCCATCGATATTGAAACACTTAATCCACGGGAGAAAGAGTGGAACGATGAACCTATTTATCCAGAGATAATCCGTGAACCTAAAATAGCGCATTTCTTCAAAACATCATATCTTAATCGAGCCAAATGGTACAAAGAATTGTCCAAGATTCCTGAAATTGACAGGAAGAATGTGGATATTTGTAAAATAACGCGTCTTACCATGCATTTGGACAGACCTTATTTCCAATACTATGATGGAGTACAAGTTGCTCAGAATATAACTAGGACTCACTTAGTTGACGGCAAATTACCAGAATCTTATTATCATAATGATGTTGACGAATCTTTGGTTGTCAAATTGAAAAGTTTACTACTCGATTCAATTAGAGTAAACAAATATTCTAATAGATCAAAATCTGCTCACGTAACTATTGGGTCTGCATGTATGAATGAAGATTGGGAAAATCGTATAATTGAAAATAATTTGCTTCAGGAGATCAACTATTCAGTGTCTAATGTTTTATTACCCAGTTCACCTCATCTTTTAGATTTACAGGTAAGCACAAATTGAGCTTGTTAAATATCATCAAACTTATGCATTATACTTTATTAGGTTGACGTTGAAGCTTTTGATCGATCTTGGTGGTATGCCCATCAGCTTCCGCGCCCTGAAAAATTCATGCCGATGCTCTGGCGTAGCCAGCGATATGAAAAAATTGACCAATTGATTACTTATGGTGCTGTCACACCATTACAGATCCGAACCTCAAGTCCTTTACCACGGGTAAATATTTAATTTGTAGATAATTATTGAAGAGTAACTCACTTTTTCATTTCAATTAATTCAGGTTGTCTCTGGCAATGATGAATTGAGTTCAACTGCAGATGTGCCCATTTTGAATTTTCATCCAGTGACATTGGGTTCAAAAATCACTAGTCGATATCCAGTTATATTACCCGGTTTTTGGCCTGAACGAAACCACGATCTTGAAAAAAGTGAACCAAACGATTTTCCTTACATGATGATGTTTGGTCTTCATGACCTTGAGACCCGCAAGCGGTTCAATAACGGTCAAGATTTCAAAGATGAAGAAGACGTAGTAAAATGCAAAGCCATGTTAGGTTCTTTTGCTTGGTTAAATGGACTTGCTTTTTATCATGGTTTCACACCTTTCCATGAAATAACCTATCCGTTTGTTACTCAAGGTTTAGTTACTGATGGCCAAAAATGGCATTTTTATGTTTATCAAATGAACTCTCACAGTTTTCACAGTGATCTTTTCACTGGTGATGGTCCACGAAATATTTGTTGGATATCTCCGGAAATGAAGCTTTATCAATCTTATGAAGACGGACAGTTTATTGGTGTCAATGATGATGTTGTTAAATATTTAATCAAGGTATGTCAAAATTATTATCATTTCAATTCCTCTCATTCCATTTATCTCTATTTCAGATGTATTCCAAGGTTCCATGCAAAGAGCCTAATGTGGATTATCGAACATTTGTTGGTAAAGATTTGCGAACTGAGGAGGAAATTAATGTGGACAGGGCTGTAATTGGTGAACGTAGCAATAACATTCATGATAACTGGATGTGGTCGTATAAAAATGCACGCTATCGGCAACTTTATCATAAGTTATTCGTTGATAATCCAGATTATGATACAACAATGATGCGAATAGCTATGCGTCCAAGATTGAAACCAGCCGAAGACTATTATTACCGTTGGAAATACTAATTTATTAACAGAAAAATGTTTTGAAATTTGTAAAAGCGAAAATATATTAGTATTAAAGTGACCACATTTGAGTTAGTTATTGCGTCGAAAGACTTTTAAATGAATTGTGTAAATTAATATTGAACAGAAGAAGCGACTATGATCAACATAATTATAAAGAAATAGCTTGAATAATGCACAACTTAATATAAAGATTGAGATTTCGTTAAGTGAACAGTGAAACAGTTAACAGATGAAAAAAAAATTAAAATACAAGAGATTAAAAATAAATGCTATTAAATAAAAATGCTATGAACTCAAATAAACTCATTTTGCGCTAATGAGTTTTGATTTTGTAAGACTAACTATGCCTTGAACCGGTACGATGTTTATTTGGTGTAGAGTTTCTAAGATTAATCTCCTCTTCATCGGGATATGTTTCGAAGTAAGTTTTATTAATGCTTTCGGTATCAGATCCTTCATTTTCCAGTTGCGTGTAAGCGTCATCAGAGAAGAGATTTTCGCGTCCAGCATTACTACTGCTGTCTCCGGTGGAGCCTAGGAGATGAGGAAAACTGGCACGACGTCTCGAGAAGAGTTTAGCGAATTGGGTGAACTTTCGTTTAGAGGCTTTTCCCATGTTTTTAAGTTTTTCCTTGAAAGCAGCATCATCCTCATGGCAAGGCACCGGTGGACCCTCAGGGAGCCCAGTTTCCGCATTATGGCCAGAGGGCTGCGCATCCATGTTGAGGGTGGACATGAAATCTTTGTTTCTTCGAAGTTCACGAACGAACTCTTCATTCTGAAGAAAAATGGCAATTCTTTCATCTTCCAAATACTGAGCAGTTTCCGAATCCTCAATATCTTTTGATAATTGACGCTGTCTTGCATTTTCAGCCATTCGTTGCTTAAGACTAGCTGAATTCAAAGTTTGAAAACCAAAAGCTGCTGGTGCTCGACGGGTTAATTCACTTCCACAATCACGGAGACGTAAAAAGTTATCCGGTAAGCGACCTACCAACGGAGGATTCCAGTTGAATTTTGATCGTAAACTTTCTCTTCTTCCAGTCGCTCCAAAGTAATCATGAGGAAATTGGTCAACCGGTTTACCAAAGCCCTTGTCACTGGTTGGTACTGCTTGTTGGTAGCTTGGAGGTGGTGTGAATCCACTATTAGTGTTACCCGTGAAGATATCAAGGGGAACGTCTGTTTTGTTGCCAACCTGTGAACCTGGAGGCATAGAATGTTGAGATTTTGATCGATTTTCAGTTTCACTTTCCCCACTCATGGCCAACAATTGATCAATTGTCACATCCACAGCTCCATTGTTTGCTCGTAGAACCATTTCAATAACATCAGCTTCCATCATTGGAAACATGGTTTTAAAATCTCTCATTGCTTGTTCAAAGTCAAGTTGAGTTACAGGTAGACCAATATTACCACCTCCGCCACCTCCATCATCAGTTGATCCATGATGTTCAAGTCGAGCCATAATGATCAACCGAACGAATAAAATGTCACTGAATCTACCTCATCAAACAAACTAATGCAAGGTAAAGTATAAACAAGAAAACAGATGAAAATGTCAACAAAAATCGTATGGTTACGCCACCTGTCATAAGACTAAACCAGCTTCAACCAGGTGGAGCTTTTATTTCTCATCTTTACATCTTTGGTTTAGATGAAACAAGTTGCATTACATGATCGCATTTAAACTGTCTGTTTGAAAAAAACGAGCGAAAAGTTGTCAAATAGTGTTTTGTTTACAACTTTTTTCACCCAAAACGTGAATTTTACTTTAAGACCAACTTTAATTCAAGTTAACTATTGGATTTAACCAATTAATTGCTGTGCTGTGTAAATTGTTGACAGTGTTGAGTCAACAATTGCCATTAATTTCTTTCCTTTGGATATTAAAAAGACTAAATTACAAAGAATGTGAATCAAACAAACGAAGGTAAGTCTTAAAATTGATTTTTCATTCATTTTCTCTCGTTTTTGTCATCAGCAATGTTCACCAATTAACAATGAAATCCAAATTTTCACTGATAGTTTAATGAACTAGTTGATAATCATATGTTGATTTCAATGGTTCAAAGTCAAGAAGCCAGTAATTCAATGTAAATGGGTCAAACTATTGTCTTCATCCGATGATGGATCATAAAGTGTATGTGAAAAAAGAAAGAGCGTTAAGAGTTTGAGCAATTAAAAGTGACCTCCACAATTTAACCAAGTCTCACCGGGGAATCTTTGTCTGAAGATTAAGATGATGATTACTCATTTTCATCAACATTTCTCAAGTTTTCCATCATCATCATGACCATCATAATCTTGTTTCCTGTAGCTTGCTGTGTACATTTCAGATTAAATTGTGACCAATGTTTTGTTTTCCTTTTTTTATTGGTTTACCAGTTTTTTTACTCATATCTTGCCCTTTTCATCCGGTTGAGAGAAAATTAAGTTACAGAAGAAGAAGAAAAGTTAACATTGATTAACAAAGGCAAATTAACATGATAAATTGAATATTATCGCTGTTATTGCACTTTATCAACATGTTTCCCAATTTCTCGATGTCTGTGTTCATCTTAACTCTCCTCTTTATCATCTTATCCTCCGCCTTACAATCTGTCTTTTGGGTCTTTTCTGGTCTTCCTTTCTTTTGTGCCTCTTTGTCATCCTTAACTCTACCAAGGTTAACGATGGGAAAGGAAGTTGTTACTACGTCTTCACCATCTTCAAGTTACTCTACTTTCTTTACCTTATTTTTGTTGTACCATTACCATTGGATGATTTCCTTGAAGCTTGAAAGCTCTGAATTTAATCTAAATTAACTGAAGCGACTCTTAAAATTCATCATTATGCTCAGTATCACTTTCGCTTGCAATCTGTTGATTTAACTTTTTTTTTGTTTTCGTTTGTTCCATCTTGCCAATTTTTTTGGTTCATTGTAAAATGGTTCCTTTGAAAAGACAACAAAAAAACACATTCGTTGTCCATGCAACTTTATTATTCTCACATGTTGATGATGATAATGATGATGATGATTGTGGTGGTTGTAAAGGTGGTGAAGGTGAGGATAAACTTGAAGGTCTTCAACAGACTAAGGGTAACATTATTTTGTTAACCTCAACAATCAACAGCTAAAGGTTTTCTTATTGTTGACGGTTGTCTTTTTTTCAAATGAAAAAAAAGGACAACAAAAACCAGTTTTACCTTGGATTGACATTAACTGATATAATATGAAAAGGGCAGAGGATGGCAAAGTATCAAATGAACAAAAACAAAAGGTAAACACGAGATGAAAATATTAACAGAAAACAATTGATATTTAGTTTTTAAATTGTCCATCTTGATGGTCAAGACTATTCAGGTTGATACAACAAAGCTGTACATCAATGAACATTAATGTAACATTAATGTTGATCATATCAATACAAGTTGACAAACAATGGCTCAAATGCAATGCTAAATGAGTCTTCATGGTTTGTAGTTTTAACGGTTGTTAATTATGACCAACCTTAAAGATTATCAACTTTTATTCTGAATACAAATTCATTGTAAATTTCGCAGATTCAGTTTTCACTTTTTTCAGCTTTTCTAATTCTTATTGGTTTAGTTTTTATTCGTTCCAATCGTTAGAATGTTTAGTTTTGATTATGATCAATATGAAACTTATCTGGTAACTTGAAGTTTACAGTTTTACATGATTGGAAATCGAATTGAAAATTAGTCGAAATTTCAATTCAAATCATGACTAGTTGAAACCAAGCTCGAAATTTTATTCAATTCTTTACTCGTTTCGTTTAAAGTTGAACAATATTGAACCATCATGAAACAACAAAATGTCCAGAGAAAGTAAATTTCTATTTTATGGTTTTGTTAACAGAATCTGTGATTTTTCATAAAAAACAGCAAAACTTTTCATGAAATATTTTTCCATCTGAACATTTCTAGAAGAATGTTTTTTGAACTTTTCGGTTACAAGAATTTCGACTGTAAATTGAGTGCAATTAGTGGATCTTGATTCATCTTGACCCAAACCCATGGATTGATTGATGATCCACAGATTTAATGGTCAACACCAGTTTCTAACAATTGAATGGATTCTGACAATTTACAGTTGATTGTTGATTATTTTGGTGTTAAAGATAAACTCGTGATTGTCACTGTTACTTGTAATGATGAGATTTGACTCTCTTATTACCTTCTCATCATCATCTTCCTGACAACCAACATCAGGTCAACATCCCAATGAATGTAAACTAAAGAATGAAAAACTGGTCTTGATTATCATCTTTTCTTCTTCTTCTTTTCTTTCCCTCCTTCACCTCCTACTTCATCATCGTTATCATTTTAAATTTATTTTTTTGTTGACAATGAAGTTGAAAATGAACTGGAAAAGAAGAAGAAGAAAAGTTGAGGAAGAAGTAGCTTGTTGATTCCACCCTGAAAACTCATTGTGTTCAATTGATGGTAAAATTTCATTCAATATCATTCCTAAGTGTATTATCATTCATCAATTGTGCAATTTTGAGGTTTCTTTTCCTCTTCACTTGTAACCAAACAGATGATTCCAATTGATGGAATTTACAGCTTCACCAAATCATAACTCAACGTCTAGTTTCATCTGTGACTCGCCAAGAACTTCAAATATCGAAATTTGAATAAAAGGTGAAAATCGGACGAATAAAAAATTAACAATAAACGGCAAAACAACATCACCCTTTAGGTGAAAGTACAGCAATGAAGCAGGATTTCCTCTTCCATTTGCCTCATCCTTTTTCCTCCATCATCTTCATTCTCATCATTCTCATCTTTCTAATCTATTATTTCATCTCGATCAATCTGATATCATAATAACTGGAAACTCGCGAGAAATAAAAAACAAAAAAATCTAAAGTTGAAAATAAGCTCAATGAACTAAATGGTCGACGGAACTAAAAACATCCGATTATCAAATTATGAATTTGATTCATTTTGTTACTTCTTGTTGGGTTGAAAAAAAAGAAACGCATAAGTAAAACAGAAAATTACTTTTTTCTCTCTTTTCTAAAATATTTGCCTTATGTTTATAACTTGTGCGTTTATCATCGCCATCAACTTCACCCTCACTATCAGCATCATTATCATGACCATCATTTTCACCTTGTATCAGAAAGTAAAGGAAATGATGAGCAACTGAACAAAAGAAGAATCAGTCGTCTAGAAAATAATGTTGATCATTAACTGACTTTTCAAGTTGTTGAAGACAGACAACTTAAATTGTTGTACATTATCAGCTCAACAAAACTGTATCGATCAACTTCTTAATTCACTTTTCATTCTCAATTTTTCATTTCTTTCATCTCATGAAAAGTTCTTTGTTTCCCATTCAACATTGAAACCAATTTCAATTTCTGCAAACTTTTCACACTTGAAGACTTGCATTATTGTATATTGAATAATGATTACAATTAGAAGCTTGAATTTGATAATTGCAATAATAACTTTCAACATTAAACACGGAAATGATAGTTTCTGTTATTGAGACGCACTTTCATCACAATTATCGTTAAACTTGCTCATTTCATGACGATTATCATAATTATTGATAAATCTATTTTTCATTGTTGATCATTCCATTGATCTGATTACAGTTCCATTGAATTTCAATTTATCCAGTTGACATTTTACCTTGAAATTAAATCTCAACCTTTTCACAAATCATTTCATGTTACATTGAATGAGTAAATGTCACTTTATCAAGTTACCTTTTCTTCATTCACTCAATGGTTAATCATATTCATACCTGTTACCTGTATTTCATTACAAAAGTTTCCCTTCTTGTCACATTTGGATTTAAAATTTCCGCCAGTTTTTGTTCCATTTTCAATGGATTCAATGTTGACAAAATTTTTCCATTTTTCACCAACAATTATAAACTGAAATTCACTTTATTGTGTCACAAACCTAATCAAAGCTATAACAATTGGTTGGTTAGCTTTCATTCAAAAATTCATTGAAAGTTTGATTGAAAGTTGAAAATAAAAATTTCAATTTCAACTTTAGATTTATTTAAATTAATTTTTAGTCTGAGTTACAACCAGATTTGCTGTCAGTTTGAATGAATTTTCTGATGAAAGATTTTAATTTTTAATTTTCTTTTCCATTTTTTATCCAATTGCTGTGTTTAGCATTTAGGTTAACCAAATATTGAATTTTTACCTGAAAATGGTACAGAGTATTGATGTTAACATTTATTTACCGAACCTTGACCCAAAGTTAGGCAACAAAAACCATTAGCATTAACCTTTGATTGAATCCAGGTAGCAGTAATACATTAGTCGTAATAATACAACACCGAAAACATTATTTACTCAACTAATCTAGTTGTGATCATTTATTTGCCTCAAAACAAGTAACCATTGGCTATTAACTTTATGCCTTAATAACAATAGTATTAATAGTAATAATAACCATTGAGCTTCTTTTTAATTTACTTTTACCTGTTTTCCTTATTTATTGATATTATATTTTTTCCAGTAACTCCAAGCTGACCATTTATTATCGACTGCATTTTTGATCACATAATTTGCACAAAACTAATATCTTATTGTCTCAATGTTTCTCATCTTTTCAGTCTTGAACAATGGTTAGTGTTGAACTTTGAAAGAACCACTTCTATGTTTCAAGTTCGGGTAACACTTAGCTTCAGCTGTTAATCTCAAAGTCGCTTGCAGAAGCTTAACGACAGTGAGAAATTTGTCAACTTAAAAGTCTTAGTCAAATTATCCCAAAATTTGTCGGATCATTGAAACACTTTCCTGGAAAGGTAAATCCATTTTAAAACAATTATGACTCGAATTCAGACGAAAAGCCGACATTTGGCTAACTAATGATAACTAACTTAGAAATGGTTTAAGCTGATAAGCTGCAAATTGGATTAGTTTTAATCGCCAAGATGAGCTTTATTGTTAA